CTTGTCTCAATGTAGCCAGGCTGTCACCTGTAAGTTCTCCATATAAATTCAAATTGCCAAAGATTAAAAGGCAGCTGAAAATCTGGCCTGTGCACAGAACTGGGGAAATTTGGTATAGGTCCCCAGAGTGACTGAACCTAAGGAGAATTCTGCTGCAAGAGCAAGGTAGCCCCTTTGATGTGCCATGCCCAAGTAGAGCAATGCTATGATTAGAACAGAAAGATACATTATGCTGGAGTTGTGAATTTAATAAGAACTACTAGAGAGAGACTTCCAAAATATTAGACTTCCCAGTTAATACCTATCTTTACATTACATACAGATCAAACTACAACCCTGTGGTTTAAAACACAGTGTTAGAACCCTCAGCCAGTAATGTCAATAGTAGAAATATCATTGACATCAACAGGACAAATATCCCTTAAATTTAAGGGATATTTGGAGACAGATCCAATCCCAAACCTAGTAGCTGGGGCTAATTTCCAAGCAGGCTGCGTCTGTATGAGGCAGATAAGCCTCAGTATTTTCAAGGTGCTTCCCAGGTCTTGGAGTCTGATGGACATGGATTCCCCTAGAGAGCCAAGACATTCTGCCCTACTCATGAGTAGAACCAGCAGCTCAGCCATCAAGGAGACAGGGAGTAAGAACAAGACTGCAGCCTGCACCTCATAGGTAGGAGTGATGGAGAAATCACCATTTAGCCTGTGGCCTTGCTTTGTCCTATCTAGGCAACCAGCACAGGGGCCATGCTTGCTGAGCTTTTGCCAGAGATGTTTGGTCATCCCCAGATCATCTCACCTCACCAACAGGGCATGTGCTGGGCTGCTAGCCACAACTGCTGATTTATGTTGGGCTGCTGACAAGGCCTCAGAGGCTTGCCTACCAAGAGCAAAGAAACGACACATTAACAGTTCCTCTCCTGCTATTCTTTAGATAGTCAACACTAAAAGCAATAGACTGAGCTACTTAAAAGCAATAACTTCCTGTACCTTTTTGTTGAGATTTTTTTATTCTTTACTATTGTTAAAGCTCTTCTTACATGAAGCATGAGGGGGGTTATCTGGAAGGGTGTAAGAGAAATCCTTGTGGTTTATTGCAGTTGGATAGCACTAGCAGAGAACTGGAAAAGCTTTAAAACTTGCTATCAATCATTTGACGTATGCAGGAAGTAATCTTTACTGATATGCCTCTAGTAACCAACTGGAATGGTTTGTCTTGCATTATACTCTTCACCCTTTTATACTCTTTTGCTGCACTGGAATGGTGGTAACAGTGAACAAACCTCGTTTCCTAAATCAAGCTTATTGGATAAAATATACATTTTTTATAAGTTGTAGCTGGCAGAAAACATCCATCTCACACTGTCTTGCAAGACGAGGGGAAATGGTTTTAAGATGAAGGGGGGGAGATTTAGGTTGGACGTCAGGGGAAATTCTTCACTGAGAGAGTGGTGAGGCGCTGGAAAAGGCCGCCCAGAGAGGTTGTGGATGCCCCGTTCCTGGAGGTGTTCAAGGCCAGGTTGGATGGGGCCCTGAGCAGCCTGGTCTAGTATTAAATGGGGAGGTTGGTGGCCCTGCATGTGGCAGGGGGGTTGGAGATTTGTGATCCCTGAGGTCCCTTCCAACCCTGGCCATTCTGTGATTCTATTCTTGGCTACAAGAATAGAGCAGCAGTACCATAAGTGTCCTACAATAGCAAGCACGGGAAAGAGATGAGGGAACTCAATAGATTTCACTCCAGACAAAATTATTGTTGCTATATCAGGATTGAACTCTTTGTTAACCCAACACTGTCACACCTATTAGCATGAAAGAAGGCAGAGGTCACTTAGCACTACACTACTTACTGAGCACTAGAAACTAATCTTCCAGCTCCTGCAAGTGTTAAAGCTGGAAAGAGCAAATTGCAGCCGCGTGCCGTGTTCCCATCTCAGGTCCTCTACGCAGCAATTATAAAAATCAGTTGTGTTATCACATTTTGAAGTCGGAGCACCACCATGCTGATGTGTGGCTTTAAATCCAGCAAAGCTTGATGCATTAAGCACATAAAGAGACCTGTGTGCCACAGGAGTCTGGCCTGAGCAGAGGACAGAAACCACAAATTCCCAATTTCAAAACCTGGGTTTCTTCCGCTGTTCGACCAACACTTCAGAACACATCCATACATTTTAAATTTCTCACTCTAATTGGAATGCACAGAAATGCTCCTTTCAGAGGTGTTGCATTGATTAATAAGCTTGAGGATGGAGATTGCTACCTAAAGTGTTAAGCACTGTTAAATAATGAAATATCATTCTATGAATTCTGGTGGAATCCAGAGAACTTCACCAAAATGTATTGGTGTCATCTACATACATACTCTATCTGACAACAGATCAAACTGGTCAAAGTTAATTCAAATGTTTATGATCTACGTCTGTCTAAAAAAATTAAGGTGAAAATTCTGACTTACAAGGAAGAATTGTGCCTGCTGAAAAATCCTTAATTTCTCACATGGAGAGTACAAACTAATATTTCTTTCATCAAATTTGTAAGGAAAAGGAAGAGTACTGACAAAGTTAAAGCACTTTCTGCAGGAAAATGCCTAACGCTTTCCATTTCAGCCACATATCCTTGCTCAGGTTTCTCGGCAAACTAGAAAACATCTGGTTTAGGCACTTCTAGCTCAGTTTTTCTGTGATTCACCTCCAATACCACATCACCAATGTGAATCACTGTGGACCACCTGAGACCTTCCTGCCATAGGGCTATAAGCACTCATTCTGGATTCTCAGAGGACACATTATGGTTTTCCTCAAATAAAACAATTTGATGAATTTCTCTGTTTCTGGATCATATCTTTCATTCTGTGAAGAGTTCCTGCAGCAGTCTGGGATTAGAAGTCAGGTCTTTCAACTTTCATTTGTATGCCTTTGTTATAAAAACCCGTTTTCTCTTCATCAGCTTTGCACACAAAATAAAAGCAGTTGGACGAGCCTGGAAGCCTCCAGGACTTCCACAGCAGAGGCCATTGAATCTGCAGACTCCCTGGCACTGGATTACTCTGTGACAAAGTAAATAATTTTACTCCCCAGATTTTTCCTTTCAGGGCCAAGACTGCCTCTTAATTTCTGTTGGTGCTGCATCACCTAGTGCAGTGGAGTTCAGGTGACTCCAGATGCTGCTGGAACATACGCAGTGATGGCTTTCTCTCTGCCTCTTTTCTTCCAACAAACCATTTGGGGATGGAGAGATTTGTATCTCTTCCCATTACATTGCTATGGAAAGTGAAAAAAACAAACAAAAAATAGTGGAAAAAAAAGCAAGAGGCATCATTTCCTAACAGATTTGTATGAGTTCATTTCACCAAGGGATGTACTATACATCTACTCTGAGTTGCTGAAAATGTGAGGTAGCTGTGAAACGCAATGTTCTTATGTTTACCAAGAACTACCAGCCCTTTGCCTTTAACAGAAGATCTGTAGCCTAAATAGGCAGCTTTAAGAGCTCTCCTGACTCAGTTGCAATCAAGATACCATCTACTTAAATAAGCATTTGTACTCCCAGTGATTTTAGGAGATGAATTACTGATCTTATTACCATGGTAAATACCCTTGAGGCAATGCACAGGCCAACAGAATATTGCTTTCTGCTGGTACAGTACCCATTTCCAGGAGAACTCTGGGAGTATTCCTAGCCATATGGTAATAATAAAAGATTTGCTTAGCATGTATTTGCCAGAAAGTCCCATTTGCAGAAGTGGCTTTTAAATCTTTGACACTGTTCACGGGAAACAGCTTGTCAGCTATGAAAGTATTCCTACCAGCTCCTGTGTATCAGCCTTACCAGTAGGTGCAGGGATCTGCAGGTGGCACTGCCCAGGACCAAGTGGAGAGTTTCCAGCCAACACAGCGACATTACCTGGATAAGCAGAAGCAGTTCTTCCCCACTAGCAGTGCAGCTCATGGTCCTCTTTGAGGACAGTCCATTGCTCTCCCATTGCTCTACATTTTGGTGGGCAGTGGGGGACGGTGACAGCTGGGGGGCTGCAGTGGATGGGAGGACATTTATTTAACACTGAGCCTTCATCTGGTCAGCAGCAGAAGTTGATAAAAACTGCTGCCTCCAGTGTTGCATTCTCTTTGGGAATAAGGAAAAGGTGAAGCTGGCTAAGGTCAGTGCACAGGAGGCTCTGCTGAAGGTGGGAGCATGTTGGCCATGAATTACTGAGCATCATCTGGTGTCACAGATAAGCAGAACGGGTAAGAGACTAGGCAGGCTCTACAATAAGGGATGGATTTAATTAACAATTGCTCAGAGGGAGCAGACCGTAGCATTTTGGCACGAGGACATCATACATCTGACAGTTACTTAAAGAGACAGGGAGTACCCTATTATAAAAAAATATATTACTCCTCAACGTGTTTTAAAAATTACAGGAGAAACACTAACAGATTGCATTACACCCTCTCTGCAGGGCCACCGGGCACAACAGCGCTGAGCTCTCGGCAGGTATTCTGCACCAGGGCCTATTTAAAAACACTGGTCCAAATTCGGTTCCAACAGCACAACTCTGCTGAAGTTAGGCGCTTATGCAGATGTAACCAAATGCAGATGTTGATCCATATTAACTGAACTATTAAATACATCAATCTTACCCAACCATCTGACGCCTCGTCCCATTTTCCTATATTTCCCAAAAGTTTATATAAATTCAGCCAGCTGACGATTTGCAAGCTTCTGGGTAAGACTTTTTTTGTCATTTCTTTCTTGGATTTTGGGTTTTTTTTTTCCCCCATCTCTCTTTTAAAATGATTATTTTAACATTAAGTGAATGTTGTAAATATTTTGAAAGCTAGAGGTGAATACCTCTGGCTGTTTCTCCATTCAGACAGAAAGAAGAAAAAGAAAAAAAAGAAACAAAAAAATAAGAAACAACAGAAATGATAAACCATCAGAGTTCTCTTATGTTTTCTCACATCCCCATAAGCAAAACAACACATTAAGTCACCAGCGCCCTACCAGTGGGTTCGCAGTCAGAGAGGTGACTGATGAGCATGTAACCTCATCCCCCAGGCATCAGCCTGCCTTCAGTCAATGGAATTCCTCCCGTGGAGCTGAGCACGGACTCACCACTGCTGAAATGGGAATGTCTGGAAAATAGAAAAGTACATCCCTGAACACATACGCCCCCGTAACAGCCTCTGTTCTTCATTCACCTGAATGCAGCACTGCCCAGTCACTGCAAACAGTCAATGAGAGGGAATATTATTTACTGACCAATTTGCAGGGAAAGGGGTTCATGCAGTTCAGAGGTTCCCTGCCAGCAATGCATCTGATGATCTATTATACTCAAGCAGCTTTGAACCCTCACAGCACCGCATCCTTTGGGCCTTTTCACTGACGACATGACCCACCACAGTACCTTTGCTCTCTCCCAAACTCATCCATTTATTAGAGCCCATCCTGCAGGAGCAGATTGCTTTTTCTGAATCAGTTAAAAACCAGTGCTGTAAATTGTACCCTTAAAAAAAAAAAGGGAGGCCACAGCAAAACTGTGACCTGAATGCATAAGAATTTTTTGAATGAATGGAGCCCTTAATATTTCATTTTGCCTAATGAAGTAAGGCACGAATGTAAAAGGATTACTATTCCTCTATTCCTGTAACATTAAATTCACACACACAAAGTGTAATTCATGGAACCTGGCTTTAATTTGTTTCATATAAATAATTAATGCTGCATTTAAAGCATGTTAAAATGTTTTATTTCTTAATCAGATAATTTGACTGAGAAACAAAGATGCCTTTATGTCCCTTTTCCTTGACTAGAGTTACTGTAATAAAAGTTCCCCTCTAACTTTGGCCTTCACTCTCCGGTTTGCTGCTGCCAATTAGTTTTCTAAAGTCACTATTTTACAAAACGCTTCTCACTTTTTAAAAAATGTAATTGAATGTCTGCACATCACAGAGTTTCTTGTGTTCAGACACGGGGTGTTAAACATTCCTTCGGTTGACTTGGGTCAGCTTTAAAAAATCTCAGACGCTGAAACTTGAGAAGCGGTCGTGTGCTACAGTGTTTTCTCCACATCCTGTTAAGTATTAAGCGGTTATTTAAAATAGAGTTGTTATACTCAGCAGCTGACTTAAAGTGCTCGATATAGTTTACAAGACGATTAATTAAATGAGAGCACTGCATGTGATGCACATGTATTTCCATAATCATTCACATTGGCCTATAGTTGCCCTTTAATTTTCATACTAATTAAAGTAACACATTGAACGGCAAATTGTAAATGGCTGCATTTCTCTGTAGATGTTAACACTGATGTAAGCTGAATGGCGAATAAAAAACTCCAAGAATTAAGCAGAGTGTTTTTTGACTCTAATCCATTCAAGTTTCTCTACTCATTCCATCACTGGACCACATCCATATTTTAACAAGACTGTGTCTTTTTTCTGAGTTTTCAGCCCCATATTTTTCTGAGGTACAATGTGCTTTTTTTTTTTATTGTGGTGTCTAGCTAGTTGGGTTCCATCTGATAAAATAGAGCAGTTAGGCAGGGGTTGCAATTACATATTTGGTTTTTAAAGAGGTAAAGGGACTGAGGTTTGTAATCTGATGGGCAGAAATAAAGGAAACCAAAATGTGCAGCTATATCACCAGTAGTTTTGCCTCTTAATTACATCTGACCCATTATCCTCCTTGATTCTTGGTCAAACCTTGACACGGCTGACTTGGGATCTGCAATGCAAAACAGAGGCTGCATTTTCAGCTCGTGTCAAGGCAAGGGGAAGTTACTCCCTAAAACACTTACCAGGACTTGGAAGAAAGAAGCAGCAGATACGATTATCCCGCTGCTCACACAGCTGCTGGCATTTCAATTTGGCACACATCTGACAGGGACCACTGCATCCACCTCGAGCAGTCCCTAGCACAAAATGGATATACGGTAATTGCTATTGAATGAGAAGTAACCACGGACTGTAGGCATATGAAAGACACCTCAAAAAAAAAACTGTCAAAAAAATCCCTCTGTCAGGGTCAACAGCTCAAAAATTAACAACTAGTCACTCCTTCCAATGTGTCCTCCATCTAATTGCTTCCATGATGAGGTGGCTTTTCTTCTTTTTCCTTTCAGAAATGAGCATTATAAAAGATTTCTTTTTAATTTAAAATGAAAAATTCCTCCATTCCCAGGTGACCTATCCAAGAGAAATAATAATAAGCACTCGATTGCTCAGAGAGCATCAGCTCTCACACATATTACAAGACTGAGTGTTCACGCTCTCTTACAGCCCCAGCCCCGCTCCCTTCCCGCAGTGTGTCCTATCTCCAGATCCTAACTTGGCTCGGCCCAAGATGTTATTTGTTAAAATTAACTTTCAGATCAGGCTGGAGTCAGCGTTCTTGGCAAGGAGGAAAGGAATGAAAACTGCAAGGGAGGGAGCGGCTTCGGGTGGCGGAGAAGGGAAGCCACAGCCCAGAGTGGGGATTTTTGGGGCAGGGATCACAGCACAGCAGTGCTGTGGCAGGGCACAGGCAGCACAGCCATGTTCACACCCAGCTGTGCCCAGTGTGCTTGGGCCCTTCTCACCAGCGTGCCCCTGACTCCTAGCAGTGCAGGGCTGAGCACCATTCCACCTTGAAGGAATACCCCAAAGGGACTGAGGGACTGCTCTGAGATAACCCATGCCCCTGCACAGCATCCCATGTAACTGGCATCTGCTTTAAGATGCAGAAGCAGTTGTGGCTCTGTGCTTTATCACAGCAAAAGTTTTCTACAGAAAGTCATGCTGAGGGAAGACCGATAGGATACGCTAATAATGCAAAGCTCTTTTTTCCCATCATAAACCAAATCTCCTATACATTTCTGGAAGATTAATTTAGATTTGGGGGAATTCGGAGTGAAGCACTGGAAAAGAGACTAAATGCATGGCTGGTTCCTACCTGACCTTAGCTACTACATCAGCCACCACTTCTCCAGCACAGTGATACATGGAAATGTGCGTGTGCTTCAGATTAATTACCTAGGGACTGTACAAAAAAAAAGCTTTAAAATATCTTTACTGAAAATGTAGTTTTTCTGAGAGCCAGACAATGGTGCTATAATCCACTGACAAATTCACCATGTATTTTATCAAAAAGTAAGATATCTCCAAGCTACACGGACAGAGTCCTGCTTGCCTCAAGTGACACATGTAAACCATGTACACATACAGAGCTAAGCAGCAGTCAGGGTTGTTGGGTATTTTTCCTTTGATTGCTGCATTTTTAAGTTTAGCCTCCAAATTTGTTGTGAGAAAGAAAAGCAAGGGGCCTTTAAAGTTTCTGACTCAGGTGACACAAATGGATGTGGCACTGGCTGTGTTTCAAGCAGGAAGTCTGGCTGAACCTTTAGCCTGAACACAGAGCTCTTACCCTCCTTGCTTGCTCTGCCCTCCTTCACTTTGCACTCTCTAACTAAATAGAGAAAGGACCTTCCCTCCCTCCACCACTGCCCGCAGAGGTTGCTGCAGATGGGCAGCACCTGGGTGCTTTCCCTGCAGGAAGGGCCAAGCAGAGCACAGCACGTCCCAAGCAAGGCTGGGGCTGGAAGGCGCATCCTGGAGCCGGCTGGGTGTTGGGCAAGGCGCTGACACCAAAGCTGGGGGCCTGGTAAGTCTTTCATCTCTCCACAATCAGCTTTTTTACACAGCCTCATGACAGCTGGTTATGATGAGCAAATTAAAACTAATTTCAAAGTTACTCTTGGGCACAATTGTCAGGCTTTCCTTCAGGAAACTCTCTAAACAAGTGCTTAACTTTAAGCAGATGCCTAAATCCCAGTGAACACAGGAGGATTTATACACCTGCTTTAGTGCTTTACAGGGCAGAGATGGCCCCCAGCAAGCGGTGTGTCACATCCCTGTGGTCCCAACGTCCAGGTGGCTTATTCTCTTTCAGGTTGAAGTGCCAGCGCCCAGCCGGCTCCGGGACCACAGCCCCACAAACCAGGTTTTTATTTCAGTGCACATCCTGCTTTTCTGCAAACTTGCATAGCCCTGCAGGCAGCTCTTCTACTAATGAGCTGCAGCATGGAAACTCGAGCACAAGGGCTGTCTAGGAGGGCTCACAGTCACAAATTGCCACTCTTGATAGCAATGCTGTTCTTTCAAGCCACAGAAAGCATGTCAGAACCATTTCTTGAAGTTGCAGCTTGGTCTTTTCTGCATTCTTTTTTCTTAAGATGACTGTCAGCGCAGTCTCAGTATGACTGAAAAGCGCAGGGAACACTGGTACTGGAGACTTCTCCAGAGAAATGGGGCCACATTGGTGGTAATCTCCCTTTTACTGGATACAGATGAGCCTGCTCAGAAGCAAAATTAGCATGCTGAGAAAAGCTCTTCTCAACCCAGAGTAACGAGTGCAGAGCTGGTGGGAGGGGGAAAGGGAAAGGGAAAAAGGAGGATGCCACTATGGCAAGTAGCATGAAGCATGTTCTTGAGCGCTAACACTGACCTACGTAAGACACAAAGTTATAAGAAATAGGGTCAGCTGAAAAAACAGCAAGGACTTTTAGTAAGCTTTCATTCATTCTTGTTATTTAATTGGAAAGCAAAACCAGAGTTTTTATTTCTCTCATTTTCTCTGCTGGCAAGAGGAAGATGAGAAAGGAAGCAGAAAAGGAAAGGGTCACTGCTAAGCTTTCCGAGGTCTTTCCTTTTGATACCATGACTTGCTTTCAATATTTTATTACTTAACTAAAATAAGAAGTCTCCAGAAAAGCAACTGTTTTGGTTAAAACCAAAACTAAATCTGATTTACCATTGAGGAAAAAAGCCAACTGCCTCTAAGGAAGACAAGCTCTGTGGTACTATGCTTACATATTAAAGAGGGCACATAGAAGTCAAAAACGCACCAACGGACCAGCATAGGTCAGACCCATGAAAAAAAGAGAAAAGATTTTTAACAATCTTTCAGCCCTCTCTTTATTAGACCTTAATTAAATCAATGGGTCAAAGCAACAGAGGAAAAAAATGGTTCAGCAGGGGGACACTAATCAACCCCTTTTGGTGGGCTGAAAGATCTGTTGAGCAAGAACTAAGCTTTAAGTCAGCATCTGCCTCATGTTACACATAACCATAGGCATTACATTGTAAGAAAAAAATATTTATAGGACTATCTTTTCTTTAAAATATAAAATGACTTATAAAAGGAAGAACTGCTAATAACCATATGCTAAGCCAGTGTGTGTGCCTGAATGTGGAGAACAGGGCAGACCTTTAGGTTTTGGTCTCAAACACCATCCTCACGCATGTTGTGTATTTTAGAACTCAGAGCTAACTCGCTTGTGAGGACATGCAAACACAAAAATACCATCCATGTTATTCATAGCATACATACAGCACACTCACCCAGAGAAGCCACGCAGTGAAGCCTTGCTGGCACAGTGCAGGCAGGTCCATCCATCCCAGCATGAGCCCAAAGGAAGGAAACGTGACTCAGCACCAGAGTTCTCTCCCACCACTTCTGGCTGTGGAGGAAGTCAGCTGCGCCACAGTGGCTTTTGGGTGCACCTCCGTCCCCTGTGCCTGTGCTGTGGCTGGAGACAGGCAACTCCTCCTTGTTTCTCGTCCCTCTCCTAGGCCTTGCACAGAACAGGGGCATCCTCAATTCCTCTCACTCTAAATAGAGAGCCAAGATCCAGCAAGCTCCTGTTGCGGTCCTGTGAAAGAAGAAGCAGATTTGTTGCCTTCTTTATCTATGCCATGCTTGGAAGCAATCTTGCATCCTAAACACGACATCATAGATTTTGAGCAAAACGCACATCCACGGGTATAACTCTTCATGTGCACAACAACCCCAATGAGCAAAATCCAATACTCAACATTTATCTATTCAATGGCCACATATAATATCCCAAGCTAGGTGTTAACAATTGCACTGGTACTGCAGCTCTGCAGAGGGACTTTCCCTCTCAGGTACCTAAGGAGCACAGCTAAATGGCTGTATCACTTAGCCGAGGAGCACATCAGTGCCTCCACTCCACACATAGCTCCATGCAGCTTTCATGGCAGAACATGTCAAGGAAATTAATATCACTACATAAACATACAATGCTTTGCCTTATTATAATATTAATTATTTGTCTCTGCTACTGAAAATACTGTTGCAGAAGGAAGTTAACACTGGCCAGGCACTGGGTGGGATTCCTTTCCTGGAAAACATGCTCTCAACAGGAAACCCAAACACAGTGCTAGATAGTTATCTTAAGTAGATTTAAATAATTAAATCCAAAATTCTCCAACCACTTGCTGTTTCAAATTTATTTCTTTAATAACAAGCTTGTTTCAGAACACACTGGATTAGGGTTTCATTTATTCAAAATTTAAGGTCTGTCCCACTTTGAGTGTTATTTTAAGTATTTTGGGGAATTTTTGTGCTGAGAAAACGAAGAGATTGTTGCATTATAAATTAATTTCCTCTGCTATTGCACAGGCCATGCACAGTGCAGCTGTGAAAGCGCTGCAAGAGCCCCAGTAGTGTCCTCAAGCCCAGCCTACGTGGAGCAGCCCGATTTCTCACACAAAGAGACGCTGGCCCCGTCTTACAGCTTCAGCTAGGAGTACTCTCCAAACAGGGACCTTGACTGTGCCAAACAAAGGGAGCGTTTTGAGATGCCAAAGAGTGCCCACCAGGGACAGACATGGCCACTAACAGCCACGTTGTGCACAGGGGCTGAGCCCCACGGTGCTGCATTACGTGGCAAGAGCAGCTTGGCTACAGGTGCTGCTTCATACCGACAGGTTCGGTGCTGCTGGTCCTTCACACAAGCAGTTTTACAAACAAGCAAGTTTCTTATACATTCTTCCTCACCTCCAGGCATTCATATTCTTTTTAAGTACAGGAACGTTAATTAGATTTTGACCGCAGACCCCGGATTTGACTTACCCTGACAGGGTTTCCATTAGTGTAATCTGTAGGGGAATTCACTGTTTTAACATCTGTGCGCCTAAGGCCTATCTCACATTTACTGCTGTAGTCTGAAAAGCCTCCCTTGTACGGCTGTGTGTTTCTTCATGCTCCCAATTTCACAGAAGTCATTTCAGCACCAAACAGTAATTAGCAAAGGGATGGGCCTCGGCTGACATGAATGCAATTTATTGTTTTCCACAAGGCCCTGAACCAAGCAAACAAAGAAGGCAGTCTTGCTGTCTGGCATTTTATTAACTTGTATTGTGCGACGTACCTTACTGAAGGGAGATCTCCGAGTAAATTCAGCAGCCAGTATGCCGTAACATGCGTGCTTTTGAAGAATATTAATTTCAGTTCAATTAGGCAAGTTTTGCGGGACCTCAGCCTCTAAAATAGGACAGCCACTTTTATAATTATCTTCTGCATTAACTTTATCACCACCCGACTTTTTACATAAATGCAACCTTTCATCTTTAAAATGCCAACACTTCTTCAATTTTGGCAACCGTACAGCATTGCTAATTATTTGCTCATTATGTGTGGTTAACTGATGAATCATTAATAAATGAATGAATGGCTAATATATTTTTATGGTAATTGGAGATATAACTGATTGCAGACTTCCTTTGCTTCTCAAAACTGCCCTGAATGAGCAGTAGCTGCTTAATTGTTTACAGATGATATTTATGCCACTGACAAGCTCTTCCATCCCTGTGGCTCAATGGGGGCGAGCCCTCCCTGTGCCCATGCTCCCTTCCCCACAGCCTCACAGTGGATGGGTGCACACTCCCCTCTTTGGGGAGGGTTTCCCACCAGCTCCCCATGATGGCCGCGAGCAGGATAACCAACACAACTGCACTCACTGTCAGCATTTCCAAGCAATACCCCATCAGAAAATGGAAATCACCCCCTTCCGGAAGCGTAGCCCAGCAGGCTGGGTGTCTGCAGTGAGAACCGCCGATGGGGCAGAGAAATCAGGCCCCGGTGACATTTTTTTTTTCTCCATACCACGCATTACAGTAAATGGCTTATACAGCCTCTCACTGCCAGTGCACAGTTAATGAATTCAGAGATAATTGCTGGGTTGATTTCTTTCTTTCTTTTTCTTGTTAATAACCTATATTTCCATAAATCATTCCTAGGGTATATGGTTTCAAAACACAGCATTTAAACCTGCTTGACAATTCAAATTGAAAAGAAAAGATAGTATGATGGCCAAACAAGGCTCCTTTAGTTATGCACACATATCCCGAAGATTGAGTTAAAAATGCAAAGGAGATTACCAATTCTTAATTATAATTATTTAACCAGGTGGGTAGTTTCTCTAATGAACATTTCTATGAAAACAGAATAACTAATGACGGTCTTAAAGAAGTCTTTGTCTTCCCATGTACTAATGATCACATTTCTAAATATGCAGGAAGGCCCCCATGTACACTGCTAATGATAAGTAATTAAGCACCAGGCGTCAAAAGCTATAGAAAAGGGTCATATTAATGCAAGAGAAAATTAAAAATGCAATAAAATAAGTTGTATAGAAAGATTAAATTTCTGGCTTCTGCAGGCCTGGCTATAAAGAAATCTTTTCCCCCTTCAGTATAACCAAGGGCTGCTGCGAGGTATCAAAACAAAATCTTCTAGGCACTTTCATTAGGTTTTACTTGCCTCTGTGCTTGAACTCCTATTAAAAAGAAGTGAACCACCCGCCATTTAAAACAGACTCTATATTCAGTAAAGCTGCAGTTTTTCTCAATGCTTATGAGAAATCACGATGGTTGAGATTATGACTATCAACAACCTCCTGTGAAGCATTTCAAAACTTCTGATGAAAGAAAACAGGAACATGTTAAAAATGAAGCCCGATTTTGCTGTTATTTTTTTTTAATCTGTAGCTCCATGCACAAAGGGCCATGGTTGACCCAAGGCAGGCTCGGACCTCAGGCTCCCAAAGAGCTGACTTGAGCCTTTGTCTTTGGTACAGCAGCTGAACCAAAACCATGTTCATTCACCAAGCATTAAAGGCAGTCTTCAAATCAAAAAGAAATGGGCTTTCTTTAGTAGTAAAGAAAGAGTGCCTTTGCTGGCATCCTTCAGCCCTCCCCACCACTGCTCATCCCTCTGCTCCCAGGCCTAATTTTCTGCAGCTGCAGTTCAGGGTTCAACAAAACGACAATACTGGTTGAAGGGAAATAATTCACTATTATTATTCCTCAATAGAAGCAGAATTCAACTTTTTAAAATGCAGTGAGAGACCAGCAGAGCTCGCATGGTAGGAGATGCAGCACAGCAGCAGCCTGCCTGGCACCAACCCCTCTTGCCCACCCACCTCACAGCACGGCCACCTCCACCCCCCTGCCCTGCCACAGCACGGCCGCAGACTTCCCAGCTCCCTCATCACATTCCACCACACTTCTCCAAACAGAACTTCTTGGCTTGGTGTCAGATTTAACCAACAGGTTAGAACACATGCAGTCCTCTGCTCAGAGCCAACGGACACCTCAACCATAACTGCAAACAATACCACAACATTGTTTTCGGTTGAAAACAGTGAGTGTCTGGCATTCTCAGCTTTCCAATGCTTCCTTTGACAACAATTTTGGTGTCCATTTTTCAGTCAGGCCCTTTTTTTTCAGTCATTTTTCAGTCAGGCCCTTCACACCAGTATGTCCATCCTGTCTGCTGCCCCTCTCATGAAGCACTGCCACCAGGAGACCATTCAGGGCAGGGCAGCGCACACCAACCATGCAGCCCAGTCTCCAAGTTTACAGGCAGCACAGCCCAGCCTGTCTGTTCAAGCTGTTTCATTTTGTCTGCAGCCGAAAATCAAATAATCTGAAATACAGCCTTGACGGTGAGCCACTGTGGTCCAGGCCCTGCCAAGCTCCACCCTGCACCAAGCACACATCCACCTTCTGGAGCGAAATGCCCCACACAGGGCATCCAGAAGGGATCAGATGATGCCCCTGCTGGCCCCACCATCACCCCATGGGCCCAAGTCTGCCAGTGAAGACGAGCCCCTGACACCACACAGGAATGGACTGGCCGCTGCAGGGGTCTGAAGGAAAGGGGACGAGCATCTGCACTGCTGTTGGCAGCTGCTGGAACACAGGATGGATCGGAAAAGTGAGCATTGAATTACAGTTATCTTCAATTAAAAAAATGTTTATCTTTGAAAACGCGTATCTGTTACTGACAAGCTCTGAAAACCTCCACTCCAAGCCTGTCAGTAAAAACCAAATGTTAAATGGAAAATATTTGCCAGGATTTAAAATTAGACCTACACATTACTTACAGATGTTTCAATGAAAAACACTTGAAACTCAACCACAGAGTAATAAACCCCACAATGGCGTATTTTTTTTATACTTCAAGTTAATTTTTATTATATAAGTAGCCATACGAAGAAGCCATTGCATACTGCTTAAATTAAATGTGGAGGAATGAAATCAGCAGTATCCCTTTACAGCATATGGTCCAGCAAATCAAATTACAAAGCTTTCCACATCTCATTAACTGCAATGAGTACAGTGAGATTTCTAATAAGTCACTTCTTTTTCATGTGAGAGGTGAGCAGTGACTTATTGTGAGTATTCTCACAGGATGACCCTTGTGCTGAAATTAAGAACTAATCTAAAATGGGAAAGGTCATTTGGTCAAGTCTGATCATAACATTTCCTCGTTATTGTTTTAGTTGGCATTGAAGCACATGCTTTCCCGGTGCACCAGCTGAAAAATGCCTTTGATAATTTCACTGACAGCAAGTAACCCACACACTGCCATTTAATGAGTTTGGGCAGGATTAGCTGACAATAAAGAATACAGTATAAATGTTTTTATAGAATGAATTTTTCAGCAGGAAAATTTCATACGGGCGCATTTAGCTAATTTATTTGCATTCGCTACCAAGACGCCAGCCTGAGCACCGCCCCAGTGAGCGCTCGCAGTCCCCATCCGGACAGCAGCCGTCCCAGTCGCAGCCCCGTGCCCCGGGACCTGCCCCAGCTCACGGCCCACCTGTAATGGCGGCTCCGGTTGCAGCGGTGCGCCAAGGCAAGGGCCCGTTCAAACACTCGCTTCCTCCTCTGCACAGAAAATCAAATCATCCTGCAGTCGCTCGTCATGTGGCTTTGCTTTATGTGGATTCCTGATTTAGTGGCAGATCTGGTCCAGGAACTGAGGCGTTCCTGGCTCCCCGTCCCGGGCTCAGATCTCCGATCGGAATCCAATCTCCCTTCCGCCATCAGCCTGAAATTGTTTGCTATAGGATATGTTGACCATAAAAATACAGCGTAGTGCACAATGAGAGAAACATCTCAAGACAGTGGAAAAGTGAAAAGCTCAGCCAGGCCAGCTGAAGCACTTGGGAGGAAAATCAACAGGCTGTTTTTAGCAATTACAAGTTGTTGGCTGAGCTGATGTAGCTGGGCAGGAAATTCCATAGTTTTTGGAAATCACTGACTAAAAGGTTCTGGCACTTCCAGTCTTCATTTTGTGCTTCAACAAGAGTTAATCGCTGTGCCCAAGAATCTCAGGATGCAAAGAAAAATGGGAGAAAGATTTACAATTAGGTTTGGAGATGTGTCACCTTCAGCTGTACAAGAAAAATTCTGCAACTGACTCAAAACCTCCTGACGCACCGTGCTAACGGCAGGGCAGTAGCAGGAATGCCATCATTCCGCCAGGACGTTTCTCTTGGTTATTAACCCCGTGGAAAATTTTGGAGGACTATAAACCAATCCTCAAAGGATGGATTTCTTATTTGGTCTAAAAACATTGCCTTACTTTTGAGCAGCCACTACTGAGAAGCCTGAAACCAAGCTACTGTTTAGATTAATTTAATTCCCCTTTAATGTTCATTAAATACTAAGCTGTTACTTTAGAGAATCTCAAAAAGAGTCACAAGTGTGAATTTTTGAAAAACACAGTGTTGGAGTGCAAAACTCACAGAGCAGAGGATGTTCACATTGTTTCCTTCGAGCTATTTTAAGCACCTAAAACATTCAGAAATCCTGAAGTCTTCAGACCAGCAAGGACCCGCACCCACCCCAGGAAAAAGGGGAGGTGAGTGGAAGCACCTCCATCAGATGGCAGATGGCCACCAGCTCACTTTGACCAGAGGCTGAGCCCCGGGTCAGTGGCAGTGAGGAGAAGAGCAGGAGAGGGATGATGGGCACTGGGAGGCTGTACCAGTCCACCGTCCCATGCAGTCAGTTTGTGCTTCCCACCCCCAAATGCAAAGCCAAGCACTGTCCTCACCAAGCTTTCTAAAACACTGGCTGGTTTTGCTGCTTTTTTTTTTTTTTTTTTTTTTAATGAGTTTTGTTTTGTTGGCTTTTTTTTAAAATTGCATCTGAATCTTAGGGAGAGGTGGGA